GTATATATATATAGTTCATAACGTAGAATCTTGATAAAAGTACTTTAAAACGTCATAGTTAGCTTCGAATTTCATACGATGACCAATACAAATAATTAAGAAAAAATCTGCTAAAAGCCTCTAAAATTACTCTAAATCTTGTGCTACAGATCTTTTTTGAAAATTTTTATTTGTATTTTATTTAATGTTCGTGCGATTACCTTTTGATATTATTGCGTTTAATTTTTATTCTTAATTTCAATTCGTAATTTATTAATTTATAACTTACTCATACAGTTACAAATAAGAAAATAAGCACATATTAAATCATCTCACTGCGAGTGGATTTACAAATTTGACCAAAAAAAGATGAAGAAAAAATAAGAATTATATAAGAATAAAGATAGCAACTGTGTGAATAATAACGTTGTGCAATAATAAAGACCTAAATTCATATTTGATGCAGTGACAATAATAAATTAAACAGAAATGAAAAGAAGGCGTTGGTTCAAAATAATGAGACTTGCGGTTCAAAGAAAATCGTTAAGGCAAAAAGTAGCACTTATACGCGATTTTAAATCTCGACTCGAGTATATTTCCTTATTATGAGTAAGCCTGTCGATCGTATGTTAAAGTAGGAAATGTTTCAACACACCTGGAAATATATAATATACTATCCGCGTCCCGGTTTCTCAATTCAGTATCCTGGCTCTTGGCTATTCCATCGAGGCACTATTATCATCACACACCAATCGATAGGAGAAACGCATGTTCTAATGAACGCGACACCGACGAGAGTCCGATGGAGTATTTTAAGAGTCAACGGTAATGACAACTAAATTATCTTTTCGCGCGCTTCGCGTCGCGAGATGCACGTCGCTCGTCGGCTCGAGACGTAATGTAACGTCCAATCACGGACAATTGCACGACGCAAGAAGATTCTGTAAGATTCCACCGCCTCGAGGGCCCGGAATATTTTGAGAGCGTTGATCGTCGTGATTTTGTTGGCCAACGAATGTGTACGCGTTATTGATTAGCGGTCAACGATGCCTGACAACGAGCGGGGATAATCTTGTCGTTTTTGCCGATTATTTTGGTGTCCTCGTGTGAGAACATGATTTTACATTTCGAAACGACGAGCAACATAAACATCTCGACACGGGACACGTGTATCGGTGATTTAATTATCCTTTTCTGTCGGTCTTTAAAATATTTAATCGGATTCTCGCTGACATTGCACATTTTTACATATTTGGCGTGCGTTTCTCTGAATTGTCGTATTTACGCGAGTGTCAGTGTCAGTGTCAGTGCCATGAAAGAGCAACTGGTAGTCGGGACGAGAAAAGTTGCAGGACTGCGAAACATAACATACTTCCAAGTATGCGAAATTTACTTATTATGTAAGAAGCTTCTCGTTTTGACACATTAACGCCGTGAAGGTCAACAGTATTATGATTCCACCGTGTCTTATTAATTTATGCGTAAAACGTGAGTAAATGGAAAGAATCAGTCGACGGAGTTTGCAGGGTTGATGTTGCAACGAAAGATTTCGACTCGGGTAGCCGTGAGAACCGTCGCGATGATCGATAGATCGTGGCTCACGACTTCTCAGAATGACGAGGGAAATAATACCGAAAGCGAGAGGGGAAGCGTTGCAGTCACGTCGATTTACGGGTGTCGAAAGAGCGCGTTGCCGCGAGGAACACTTCCGGCCGGCGTACGTGGGCCCGCACGTTCGCCGATAACTGGTTTTCGCAAAGTTCAGGGCGTCGACCCTGCGCTCGCGACCTACGCCGGATAACGAGACGATGCGCCTAACGATGAAGACAACAAAGACGCGCGCTACGAGCGCAACAATAGAACGAAACATGATAGCGCGAGAAACTATAAAGCCGATATTAAAGAATAATCTTGTCCATTAAACGACACGACTGGCAACGCAGGCTCCGTCTGCAAAACTGAAAACCGTCAAGACATCCGGCTAGCACGATTCCTAATGCAATCCGACTGCGTCTTAAGGGGGTATTCTAGTTTTCAAGGTGATTTTTGGGAATTAATTTTAAGTAATTTTAAGTAAATTTTAAGTAAATTTTAGTTAAACCTACAGAGTTAATGTTTTGTACTGACATTTATACACCTTTGAAGAAACATCTTAAATTTTGTCAAAACTTTTTATTCAAAATTGGAGAAAATACAAGTGGACGAAACTGGTAACGCCGTAAAATCATCTTCCATCGGGTGTGTTGATTGCCGTCGTCCTCGTCATCTGAGATAAGCGAATTTGCTTCTATTTTGTTCTTTATGAATGCGACTATCGCCCGAAGAATTAAATAATTTGAAAAAAAATTGACAAAATGGCGGCGCTTGAAAAATAGTAATCTGATCTTTATTAAAAAATTCTAACTTTTCGCGGTCCGGAAAAAAATAGTGATTTTAAAGATATCAAAAAGATTCTAGTTCGGGCGGTAGCCATATCCATAAAGAACAAAATAAAAGCAAATTTGTTTATTTCAGACGACGAGAACAGTGGCAATCAACACGTCTGTTGGAAGACGGCGTGACCTATTACGTCCACTTGTATTTTCTTCAGTTTTGAATAAAAAGCTTTGACAAAATTTGAGACAAAATTTGTTTCTTCAAAGATAAATGAAATGTTAGTACAAAACATTAACTCTGTAGGTTTAACCATTTACTTAAAATTAATTCCCAAAAATCAGGTCTTGAAAACGGGTCTTTACTAGAAATAGATATATCCCCTTAATTCAACTATTAATTTTTGCGGGATGGTTTCACCAAGTACTCGTCCTTTCCTCTTATCTTCTTTCTTTTTGGTCGCGCAAAATAGGAGAACGCTCGAATTCGCCCACCCGTCCTCACGACGAAAGGGTCGCGACGTCCCACAGGAACCCGCGAAACAAAGTCAATGTCGTTCGGCGTAATCGCGCGTTTCGATTAACGAGTTTAAACCGCAATCACTGACGGCCCGGCGTACCCGTATAATTTTGGGCCAGTCTGTATGCTGACATGCTAAATGCGGGTAATCGACGTGCGCAGCTGCCTTTGCCGGAACCGCAAACGCCAAGCAGTCTGGCGGCTGCAAACCCGGAGCCGATGTGCAGTATAATTATAAGAGAGCCTTTGCACACACAACCGCGCCGTGTGCGCCTTGCACGCGCGGTATCGCAGTGTACGCTGAAAAAAAAGTTGCGAGATATCGCGGGTGGGCGCGCACATCGAGCGTTATGCGAGGCGTATCGCGCATTCGGACGTCGGAGATCTCGACGGGTATACCTTATAAGACCGAGCCGCTCGCGACATCGCGCGCGCGCGGTGCGTAGAAACCCTAATGAGATGCATACGCGTGCGGCGGATGTAGCGCGGATGAAACGTATCTTGATTGCCCGGGGGCACCACGGTCCCGTGCGAAGAAGCGAGCGAAAACGAGATGAATGGACCGGAGAAATGCTGAAGAGAAACGCGACCGTCTCGATTTTGCAACGCCATGCTCGATTTATACGTCAGACGTCGTGAAACGACGCGCCTCGAGACGGCGCGATCGCGAGCCACGACACTTTTGGGTGACGAATGTGCAGTTGGACGCGACCGTACGAACGTTGACCAGCGTTTCTAGCACGGTTAATCGAGCGGTGGAGAGAGAGAGAGAGAGAGAGACTCACTTTTCCTGCATCTTCTTCTGCCGCTCCTTGTCCTTTTTTTTCCGTTTCGGCTTCAACCCCGGGTCGTACTCGCCCTTCATTTGGAACTTCGCCCTCTGAACCGACAACGTCTTTCCGCGAATTTGCGAGCCGTCCAAAATCTTCAGCGCCAAATCTACTGACTCGACCTGAAACATCAAGTTAAAAAATAGATGACAGACTGCTCGCGTAGACGTTTCCCGGGATTCTCCCAGGTGCAGCATAGATTCCCATCAGAATGCCTAAAGAGACCGGCTCTCATAAGCTTTTAACCTCATTTTGTGGTATCCGAAATTTTAAGTTATTTTTTATAAAATTGTAGCTATACATGAGTAGGTTATATATATATATATATATAAGCAGCAAAGTAATGTGTTTTATTATTTGAGAGAAAATGGCTCAATAGAATTGTTTCAATAGAATAAAATATTAAGAAATAAAATATTTTTAAAACACTTCGGAACATATTTTGCTGCGAATAATTCATAAAGTCAAATAAAGTGAAATAATTCATAAAGTCAACATATTTTATTCGATTTTAACGTAAAAAAATGAGAAGATCAGAAAAAATATTAGGAAAACTTTGCCCTCTTAGAATTACGTGTTTGAAACGTTGCACCTCTAACCAGAACCCATAATTATTTTGGGTAATCGGGCTGTAGGTAGCAATTAGAGATCCCAAAAAATTTTTTACGCGAATCGTTTTCGACGCGTCTTGTATCGAAAGCAATTAATGCAGCGCGTAAAAAAGCAGCGTTAATAGGCTGCAGTTCCTACGTATTGTGCCCAAGTAATGAAGTGCCATTGTTGCGGTCGCCGTGTGTGGGTGATGAGACCATAGTAAAAATTCGCGAGCAATATAAATACGTTTCATTAACCGGTCACGCCCACAATAATCACCGAAAAAGAAAGAAAAAAAATAGGAATTGCGGCTTACACGCAAAAGGTTTTAGTTCTGGATTTATGACATGGGCGTACTGCCCGTAATAGCCATTTAACGAAGCGGATCGGTCCTTTCATTACGCAATCCGGTCTTTCGGGCGAACCTGTCGCGTTTTGTCGAACGTCGCCTATATTATTTAAATTTTTCGATTTACCAATTGCGTTGGCCTACGAGTGAAGAGGAAAATCTAAGAGAAATGCAGGCAGGATGTTGAGATAAGCAACATAGACAAATGAAAAGCATCAGTCCAGAACTTTTATGAGTCAATTCAAGGCAGTTAAGTTATGAAGCGATCCTTCAAACCACTTCAAAGATACTGCGAAGAGCTTCTTCTTCATAGAAAAGCCGTAAAACCATAATAACTGATCGATTCAAGACGAAAGCTAAGCAGAGTCAGTCGAATGCGTTCGTGAATTTCGGAAATATTATTTCCAGTCATCACGTCATCGCTCGTTCCAAGCGCGCGATGCGACAGGAGGTGTGTAATATATATGTATCGGAAATAGAGAGTCGTTTCGACGATGTAGCCATGTCAGACCTATTTACGAAACCCCGTAAAACATGAGCCGCTTAGGGCAATTTTAACCGTGACTTCACGTCGTACGTGGACGGGTAGTGGAAATAGGACAGGAAATAAGCACCGATGCTTGTCAACTCTGTCGTTCTTCAAAGAAAGAGAGAGAGAGAGTGTGAGAAAGAGAGAGGAAACGCGAGACGAGGTCAAATATCAGACGATGAATACACAAGTAACTCCGTTAAATCGTACGAGATATTTTCAGAGAAGAAGAAAACATTGGCTGAAGAAAAGACGTCGAGGCAGCCTGGAATATCCGAGCGGGCAAATTTTCGCGATTAGTACGCGCTTCTCGTGCAAGGTAAAAACGGCTGCTGATCCTCGCGTTATATACATCCACCGTGATGATAATACACGATGATGCAACACGTGACCCGAACCGCGAATGTCTAAATAACCATATGGAGTGATCCCGACACGGATGACGTAACGACCCCGAGACAAGTCTCCCTTGTAACGATGACCTAAAAAATTACTCGCTCGATATCTCGAGGATCGAGAAACCGAGTAGGGAGTATTCCGGGAAGTCTTTAGAAGCATTCGCAATGATTTACCGTCGACCCACTTAAGCAAAATTCCTAGCTTCGAAGCGATCCATCGTTCCCCCTCTTCTCTCCTCTGCCCGTCCTACTGAACGATCGGAAGCGAAAATAATGCTCGAATTTCCAAATCCAGCTGGACATCGCGCGAAATCGTTCGACGCTCGTCCAAGAGTCAACAGAAATTCCTATAGCGACCTCGCGATCTCTGGGCAAGCAGCCGTTTAACCCTTTCGTTATCAGCGGACATATGCTTTCCCCGCCAACTATAATAGCCTTATTCAGTAGAGTGAACAGCTTTTTTGGCATTCAGAACATACCAGCTCTACTTATTATCGTTAGGACAAATATATCCTCAATTTAAAAAATATATATAAAAGGGGCTAATTTGAGTTCAAGCACAGATGTAATAGTGCTATTATATCATATAGATAAAGCCTTCCTTATGTTAGGAAATCATCTATGCTTACATCTGTGCTTAAACTCAAATTAGCCCCCTTTATATATATTTTTTAAATTTAATTTTTTTTTAGTTCTTTATTTGTTTTTTTAAATATATCCTCTCAAAAATCTCAATAGGTCATCAGTGTCCCGGCCCTATTGATGCTAAATATAAAACTTTTTATATTCTTGCTAAAAATATATTATATTAGTATACTTAATGAGGTGAAAGTGAGAAAGACATGGTACTTTTAAAAGAGAAAATTGGTAGCGAAAGGTTTAAGCAATCTTCGCCACTCTTCATCGATCAGGACATGAGAGCCCTGCACTTAAGGATACGTGTCCCCAAGACGGCGAACAACAGAGCCGTGTACACGCACCTTAAGGACCTGCAGACACGAAGGGCCTCGCCATTCCTTCGATGCATCATTCTGCGACACCCACGCGCCAGACAGCTTCAAGGCCTCGCTCTTTTTCTTTCAAGCTGTCTCGCTTTCGTTTAACCCTTAACTCCTGACACGAACGGACTGCGGCACGATCGCTGACACCGTCATCTCCGCGGAATTTTCGTAGCAACCCAAATAGAATCTCTTTTTCCGATTTTTGTTTCTCGATCGTGCGCATCTATTCAAGCTTTGCATAAAACTCCACGTTGCTTTTCCGCCCAACTATTCCGTTAGGTTTTTCAACGCGCGATAAAACGTCCGGCTTGTACGGGATGTCAAGGAAGTGGTCGTCGCGCGATTGCCAATTATTTTCCCCCGGCTCGAGATTGGCTTCGTGGAAGCGTTCGATTTAAAATTGATTTCGCAAACAGGATTAAGGTGGGGAAGTTGAGGGGAAGTTGAGCGCGCATACGTTGCGTTGACTAGATGACGACAAGTAAACTGATAATCTACATGGCCAACGCGTGCAGACACAGGCCAGATCGTTGTTCACGCGTAAACGCCCAGCGGTGATTAAAATCCTGGTTTTATGGGAATGATACCAGTCTCTCGTGCCGGCCGTAACGACGACCAATGAGAAACAGGACTCGACTTATTGTCAGATCTCGACCACCCAGACTCGGCAGCTCCCGCGGTCATCTTGCAACAGCCTATGTTAGATCACTGCAATTACTATACCCTCGTATCCAGTTCACGTTAAATTACACGAGTTCCTCAGTCGGTGTACACGTAACACGTTACGATCGTCAGTGGCGCGGTCATGTCTCCGCGAATATTCTCCCGTCGTGCGAACGAGACACGAAAGACCACCCGAATTCGTCGTCGCGCGTCCCGCAGTATCGATGAAAGACAAACGGCTGGGAGGAAGTTGTGATGAAGTTTTCGCGATTCGCCCGTCGCGCTTCATAGTTTTGCGCGTCTATATTTATTTAATCAAACATCTTAATTTGCGTATATTCGCAGCTGCGCGCTAAGAATGTATTAATAAGTGAGGGAATTACGTGACCGTCGGTGCTTCCTGATAAGATTAGCCTCAGTGAATGTACATATCGTGGTGTACGGTTTCCTTAATGACTAATGCCCGCCGCAAAACCGCGCGCGATCGCGTTGGGAATTTGACGATCCAACGACGTGAGGCACCCGCGCCAAGCTGTTTAAACAAAGTTATCACATTACAGGATGCTGGGTGTGAGTGAGACTCGCGGTGCGTGGAACGCGCCGTCGGAAGTGTACATCGGTCCGCTTTTAACATTGATTAATAACGAGCGACGCGCGATCTCGAGGCGCCATGGATCATCATTATTGCGTGATGTCGCGCTTCTAACACGCCTCGAAATGAATACTGACGTTCTTCTAAGCAACTATAGTTAGACGATGTCTATTATCATTAGCACACTGGCGTCCGGCCAAATTTCTCTCCCGGATGCATTAAATACCGCGACCGCGTGCAACAAGAAAATTCAGCGAAGCTCTCGAAGAGAGCTGGCCACTCGGGAAGAATACCTGCCCACGAGAGGGGACATTTTTCAGCCTGAATTAATTGTATGAGGAAGCGAGGTGTGGTTCCTTTCAACTTATGTGCCACTAGACAGCACTATTTCACGGTCATATTTCGCATACCAGCCGGATTGAGTTCCGCGATCGACGCGACAAGTTGAAGTGCAAAGCTAAGGTATGCGCTCTGCGAAGAACGCTTGAGGTTCGCGCTCGGAAATGACCGTCGGTCGCAAAAATTGTCGACGATAATAAACGACGGTCGACGATAATAAACAACGTTTTAGACCCTATCTCTCGAGGACAAGTAGCCATAGTTACGCAAGAATAATCGAATCCACAAAATTATGTTTACTGGGTTTTTTCTAGGTTTTTCTTTTTACCAATGATACATCTTTTCGCATGAAACAAAAAAGAATCTTTAAGCTTTAGGAGCGTAATTAATTAGAAAATAGACTTTTGTTTTTGTCTTTCTTTTTTACTCATTTTTTTAAACTTACCAATGAATACTCTTAAAAAGGAAAAACTAACTATACTTAATTTCTTGTATAATTGCGAAGAATCTTGATGTCATAACTTTTCAAGTTATATATCATATTTTCAACTTCATTTTTCTCGAAACGTCATGTGAGTTGGATCATTCTTGCATAACTTACGGTCAAGTGCAAAAATCTGTCAAGTGCATAACGCGGCTCGCTCATTAATTTCGCAT